ACAACTTTTATGCTCAAATGGCCAAAAAACTGACAAAAAACTGTAAATCCTTGTGAAGAATTCAGGTGGGATAGTCACTGGGCGCGAGACAATGGTAAACTGAGGCGCGATCGCCGTGCCACCATGCGCTAGTCGGCCTGTACACGTATCAACAAACTCGTGTTCCGAGGTAACCCTCGCCTTCCGAGACACATTTTCCGAGGAAATCCTGCTCGTATTCCAAAAAAACTCGCATACAGAGACACTCGTGTTCCGAGGTACCACTGTATATATAGAAAGGAGTACGACCTCTAGCTGGAAGAAGGGGAACCCATAGCCTCGGAGGAAACCACGCATTAGAGGGAATGTTTAGATCCGCTCCAATACAGTTTCTATGTGCTTTTCTCCTACCACCCCCTTCCTTTTTTATTTTTTGTGCATTATTATGTGTTTGATGGTTATAAGATATACATGGGTTGATACAAAAATAATATTACAAAAAGGTGCTTAACCCTTCAATTGCGCATCGCATCATATGATGCTTTGACCGACTTGCAGTAAATTGCGCATCACATCATGTGATGCTTTGGAGTACTACGCAAGATTTAAACGGCCCGCGGATACACGGGGTTCACCACACCTTCATCAGGGCTCTTGTAAACAGACGCCATTTTTAAAAAAAATCGTGGGCCAAACTCCCAGGTGTTAGGGGCCTCAGTATTGAGTCAGTTACCAAGCCTGACGCACGCAGCATGAGCTCACAGCACTGCTGTTCAGCTTGTGACCACAGCATCGCATAAAAATGCCATAATATACTTGTTCATGCTATTATGTAGCGATGATATTATTACAGAAGACCCCTGACTGTGATACAACTGAATAGCAGGATTGTGGTGATATTTGGCGCTGTGTGCCATGGAGGGAGGAGTAATGCTGTGGGAGGGAGGATGGTGGCGTTGTCTTTTGAGTGTGTGTGGCCCTTTTATTGACTGCAGTCACCATACCAGCTTAGTGGTTCGCTATGGTGAACACAAATGTAGATACTTATATATAATATGTGTATAGTGTGAGATAACAGCGAGAGTAGGAGGTTGGGAGCCGCCATTTTGGTGAGGGTGGAGCGTCGTCTGCAGGACTTATCATTTTTACTGATGACCACGATGGTCTTTGGGCACCATACCAGTTTACTTGTACAAGTATGGTGAATAAAACAGGTAGATATTTATATATAATGTGTGTATATAGCGTAATAACACCACACAGTATTGTTGGAGGAGAAATATTAGTGCGTCTGGCCTTGAGGGCGGCCGCCACCAGCTGACTGTGTGAGTAGCTACGTCTCTGTGCCTTTACTCACCATACAAGCTTAGATGTACAGTTATGGTGAACAAAACATGTAAATACTTATATATAACGTCTGTATATAAAAGCAAAAACAGTATGGTGGGAGGAGAATGGTGGCAAGTCAGGTGAGGTGAGGGAGGGAGTGGCAGCCAGTCACTGCCTGCCACTGCCACTCAGCATACCATCTTAGTGGTTTGTCATGGTGAACAAAACATGCAGATACTTATATATAACCTGTGTATATAGTGTAATAACCAACAAAGTATTTGTTCACTGTTTGATGAACATAATTGAATCAACCATATGCACACCATATTTTTGAGTACAGCGATGGTTCACTCATTTTATTATATAAATATATCACACTACACACTATTGAATAATATTACAGCAAAAAACTACGAAAAACAATCAGACATAGAAATAATTAGGTAATTATCTCTTTGTGGAAACTCTGGCCTGACAGCTGGCGATCAACAGACCGCCTGGGACGCACGCTCAGTCAGCGCCTGATTTTTGCCACACTTCCCCGCCCTATAGTGGGCAATATATGCCACTTACGATTTTTTTATTATTTTTCCCGTGATCAGTGAACACAAATTAACAGGTTAGAACGAAAAAATAATTTTTTTTTTTTTTTTGGTATGCGCCTGTGGGTGTCAAATGGTATATAGCTATGCGCCATTTAAGGGTTAAAGGTTATGGATCTCTTGAAAAACACGACAATGGGAAACATTGATGAATGTCACAGACGGGTTCGATCATTGTTGCAAGTCAAACACTTCTTCGAATTCCTCTGAAGTTGGACTAGTGCCCAAGACGCAACAGGCATTTCCCCTCTGAATCGCAACACTGAGGCACTGGAACAAGAAACTTTTTGCTCTCTGGTCTTTTGTAGCGCTGATCAATTTGTCCCCCAATTCCTTCAGGAAATTCAATGCACATTTTCCCCACGAACCGAGGGTCTCTGAGCCGATCGGAACAAAGCAGTGTGCTAGACCTCTGTATTTAATAATTTTCTGCGATTCCCATATTGTACAACATGTACAATAATAATAATAATATATATATATATATATATATATATATATATATATATATATATATATATATATATATATATATATATATATATATATATATATATGAATGACAGTGTCAGACCACGTAGGAAGAATTTAAACAGGAATTTCCTAAGAACTTTCGTATTTTAATACAGCTTCAGAAGGAATGATTTACATATCAAGTATTGGACATATATAGAGGCAGGAGAGAGAGGTGAAGTGAGGTGAGGTACAATGAAAAAAATGAATGGGAATTAGGTGGATATTAATAAGAGCCGCATAAGAACCGCAGAAGGGCAGCTCCTATTTTTACCCACTTATGGTTTATGGGCCATAAAATAAAAGTTGCATCAATAGGCCCACACATGGATAATAATAGCATAAGATAGCAAATATGTATGTACTAGCTCTTACTGTACTGTACTGTACTATATGTATTATGTATGTACTAGCTCTTATCTATAAAGCCAACAAACTTTGTAAAATCTCTTTATGTATGTACCTTTGCCTAAATAAAAATTATTATTATTATTATTATTATTTACAATGAATTAGTGAGACAAATGTGTATCAATGATCCTACTCAAATTGCCCTTTAATTGATCTATCAAAAATGGATCAAAGTTATATAAACCACTGCTAATGTCCAAGAACCATCAGTTCATGTGGCCTGGGAGAGGGAGCCCTCCATCAATAGGACTCTCTCTCACAGACCATCATTTTAAGGCCAAGTATTTGCTAATTTAAATTATTTTAAAATTGCCCCGAGGGGCGAGATTATTGGGCAGCGCCACTCATCTTGTGAGTGGACACACCGCCATAATGACAGTATTGGGCAGCGCCACTCATCTTGTGAGTGGACACACCACCATAGCAGCTTGTACAACACTCCCCAAAAGGAAGAAAACCCGCTGGGTTGTTCATCCTGTCACTTGTACCCAGACACAGCTGGGACTTGCTTAACTGTCTCAAGTGAACAGCTTATCAAACAAGAAGATTAACATCTGTCAACCCTTAAAAGCTTACGTTATCTTGCAGGTGCAAAATGGGGGAATCTTTTAAGAACTGCATCAATATTTGACAAATAGTGTTTTCCTAACTCAAACAATGTGGGGTTTATTATTCTACACATACTTCTAATGTCTCTCTGGTGTTCACATTTCCGTAGATAGTGGTCAAGGCAGTGTCCGTCACTCTCATCACAGGTTCTACAGCTTCGCTGATCAACAGTTGTTTCCATTCCATATCTCTATGGATATTTGTATCCAAGACGGATTCTCGCTATTACTGATTCTCTCCTGCATCCACCTCCTCTTCGTCCATAATGATTGGGATTGTCAGCTGCAACCATGTTGTACCATCGTACAGATTCACTGGTTTGTGCTTCTATCCTCCTTTCCTTGTCACGGTGATGTTACCTGACAATACCTCTAATTTGTAGTAGTCTTGGGTATGAAGTATTCAGTATGGTCTCCTTCAGCAGCCAGCACATCTGCTCGTTCATTCCCACATATTCCAACATGGGAGAGGATCCACAGAAGCTTGACGACTCTTCCCTGATTGGTAAGTACTCTTACAACTCTTAATTTCAGCGACTATTGCAAGATTTTCTGCCCAATTGTTACTTAGGCTTTGAAGTGCTGCTTTTGTATCAGTGCAAATCACTGCACCATTAGTATTTCGTTCAAGAAACCTTATCGCCATAACAATAGCAGTTAGCTCTGCTTGCGTTGAAGAGACATAGTTCTCAAAACGTGCTTTTTCTTCATTTCTGCGTTGGAAAGTATTATCCTTAATTACCATGTATGCTACACCAGCCCTGCCATTGACAGGATTTGATGACCCATCAGTGTAGATTTGATCTAGTTCATCTCCGGCTTCTTTATAAATTTCCTCGAGATACTTGTGCCTCATTTCTTGTGGTATCATGTTGAATTTTTTCATTGCCATTTCATTGATGATAATCTTGCATGAGTCATCCTCCCAGGGAGGTAACCTCTCTACAGGCAGGAGCTCACGGGCTTGCTCAAGCAGATGAAGCTCTTCGAGGTAGCAGAGCATCTGTGATGCCATTTTTTGCTTCTCCTGTGTTCCCCTGAAAGTAGCACAGAACTCAGTTTTTTCTTAGCAATATCATTGTAATGGGGATCTCTGGCAGTATCCTAATTGCAAGCTTAGCATTCAGCTCCTTAATTCTGCTTTTAACACTGGGGAGGGACAACTCCTCTCGTAGATTGGACATTTTGGCAGTTCTTGGAACTCCAAGAATGATTGTCATGGCTTCATTCTGAATGCTTTCGAGCCTTTTCATATTATTTTGGGAGTAGATGCACAGAACTGGTGCGGCATAGTCTATGACGGAGCGCACATAGCCTGTGTACATGCTAATGTTTTTTCGAAACGTGTAGTGAGCAGGTAAACAAGATACTTTGACAACTGACCATAACATCAGTAAACATGATATTCCATACCGAGTAGTGTTTAATGAATTTTCAGAAATATGTTAATTTTTTTAAATATACTATATAAATGGTTTAAAACTATTATTATTTTGTAGATTTAATGCAAATACATTACTTTTTATCAAGGTTTTGAATGTATTACGTTCCTCAGGCAAGAACTCGGCCCATGTGCAGCTGAGGGTCGACCATCCCAACATTACCAAGGCTGAACCTAGTATTACTTGGCATGTATACTTCCGTGCCTACCCGGAACCTGTCTTTGTCTGGTACAAGGAAGGTAAGAACTTGTATTTTTGTCACGTACTCTATGGTCTGTACCCAGAACCTGTCTTCGTCTGGTACCTGGATAACTTGAGATGGTTATCCAGGGCTGTGAAGGGTTCAGTGACTATAATAGACACCATAGCAATTGTAGGGCAAAAAATAATAATAGTAGTAACATATAACCCCTCATTGAATGACAGAAGGCCCAGACAGGAATATGATAAACATGGCAACCATTAATATAATAGAGAGAGCAGCTTCTGTTGCTTGCAGGAATAGATCCAGACTGTTAATCATAGAAGACTTCAACCACGGAAGATAGATTGGGAGAACAGAGACCCATATGGTGGATGCATGAACATCATGGTGAGCTAAGCTGCTGGATGTGGCAACAAGAAACGTTCTAAGCCAACACATCAAGGGACCGATAAGAATGAGAGGAAGATGAACCAGCTAGACTTGATCTGATATTCACCTTGGATGAGTCAGATATAAGGAATGAGCCCCTTGCAAACCCCTTGGGAATGAATGATCACAGTGTACTGATATTTGAGTATCTAGTAGAGCTAGGAGTAACATCCCCCCCAAAAGAACTAGAAGGCAAGGGGCTGGTGTACTGAAAGGGAAATTATGAGGAGATGAGAAAATTACTGAGGGATATATCATGGGAAACAGAACTCAGAACATCATGTCCATATAAGACATGATGAAATATCCTGGCCCTGAAGGAAAAAATGAGAAGCAAAAGAGGAATCCGTGGTTTAATAGGGCATGTATGGAAGCAAAGGAACTATATAAAAATGCATGGAGGAACTACCAAAATTTACCTTTTTTTTTTATCTGAGGGCCACTAACACTAGCGGCCTCGATGAGGATAGGAAGCCGGCGGCTTGTCATATGTCCCCCCCATTTTCCCTGTTGGTTTTTTCCGGCTGTATTTTAAAACCCAGCAGTTTTTTGGCGGTTTACGGCTTCGGGGGGTAGGCGATTCCATGGGTTTACAACCCTATGGGTGAAAAAACATCTCCTGTTTTCAGTCCTAAATTATGGCTTGTTGAGCTTGAACCCGTTGCTCCACGTTCATGCTTCATCTGCCTTTTTAAAGAAATTGTTACAGATCAACATTCTCCCAATTGTTCAGTATTTTAAAGGTTTCGATGAGATCCGCCCTGTCATGCCTGGCCTGCAGTGCTGTTAGTCCTGTGGCCCTCAACTGTTCTTTATATGAGAGATGACTAAGCTCCGGTATGATTTTTGTTGTCTGGTATTGCATCTTCTCCAGTGTAGCTATGTCTTTCTGAAGATGAAGTCTCCATACTTGGATGTAACAATGCAGGTAGAGGTGCACCAGAGACTATACAATTGAATGACTAACTTCCTTTCACTAAAGGTGAAGGTACGCTTAATTATTCCCAGAGTTTGGTAAGCTTTTTTAACTGCTGCTCCCACTTGTTGTGCAACAAGAAGTTGCACAAGCTGGAAATAAAAGAATATCGGAGGACAGAGAGAACATGCATCCCAGTGCGAGAAGAGAAGTAGAGAGACAGTATGAAAATGATGTAGCATATAAAGTAAAGTCCGAACCAAAGCTACTCCACTGTCACATTAGGAGAGAAGCAACTGTGAAAGAACAGGTGATTGAAAGGAGAACGGGAGAGGATAGATACAGAGAATGACAAAGAGGTTTTCACAATAGAACGAGAAGTCACTGAACTAGGAGAGGTGGCAATAAACCAGGCGGTCTTGGAACGGTTCGAAATAACCAGAGATAAGGTTAAGACGCACTTGTTGGATCTGGACGTGAGAAAGGCTGTTGGACCGGACGAAATCTCACCATAGGGACTTAAAACGTGTGCAGAAGCACTTTGCTTGCCACTTTCCATGGTGTATAACACGTCACTGGAAACAGATGACCTACCAGAAATATGGAAGACAGTTAACAAATATGCCACCAGACTAGTACCCGAGTTGAGGGGTATGAGCTACGAGGAGAAACTACGAGATTTAAACCTTACGTCACTGGAAGACAAAGAGTTAGGGGGGACATGATCATGTAACGGCCAGCTGGAAGCAAACCTCTCCTCCTCCTCCTCCTTTCCAATTTCTCCTTGACAGGATGGAGGCATTTCGTCATGACATCATTATCATTAATCTTTATTCAAGTGCTCCTTGTTGTGGGTGTCCAACCACTTGGGCTAGACGGTAGAGTGACGGTCTCGCCTCATGCAGGTTGGCGTTCAATCCCCGACCATCCAAGTGATTGGGCATCATTCCTTCCCCTCGTCCCATCCCAAATATTTGTCATTTTGTCTTTTCTTGAGATGAGGCGCCAAGTTCGCTGTCTCCCCCCTTTTGCTCGTGTCTCTTATGCTCGCGTGTTGCACTCTTCCTCTCCTCGTCCTTCCCACCTTCCTCAGTCTCACAACATATTTCCAGGCCTTAGACCCGGACACGCTTACCTCCTCCTGCCCCTGTTCCTTTATGTTCTGTCTTGAAGGGTCCCCTCTTTTGGGGGTCCCCCCCAAACCTCAAACCTCTGTCTGATGTTTCCCTTCTTTCTACCCAGTCTGTCATGTCTCCTGTGTTTTCTTGCGTATCTCCCTCCGATCCTCCTTCCTGTCTCTTAGCTCTCCACGCCATCTGTCTGTGAGGGCTGATGTCCATCACTCTCCCAGCGATCATCGTGTTGTTCGCTCTCGTTCTTCTTCTGTTGAGACGCTCGAGTCTGTTGCCCAGTACATTGTTGATGGAACACCTGTCTCTTTGAGTCAGAAACGTAAGCCTGGCTCATCTCCTTCCTCCTCCCCAGCGGGTTAGAAGGCTTTGCTTTCTTCCTCGCCATTCCCCCCCATCACTGATTCCATCGCTCTGTCCCCTCCCGTTTCGGTGGTTGCGCCCCGTTTCTGCTATGGAGGTTTCGTTGGCCCCCACTTCCCTCTCGGTTGCTGCCCTTGCTGAGATGCACTCCCTGGTTTCTGCCCCTCCTGATGCTGTCCTTGACCCCTCGGTTGTCCCCCGAGGGAGGGGGCACTGGCACCGCACTGTTGGAGGAGGAGGAGGGGGTCCTGGGGGTCCTGTCCTCCCGCTCCCTTCCCTCCATCCTTACTCAATTTACCCATGCCCCCTAACCCTGACTTCGCTGACCCTGATCCTGAACTTTTTTATCATGCTGTGTTCCTTTTTTTTACCCTTTGTTTCTTCATTGTTCTCTGTTGCTGTCCTTTCTCTATTTGCCGATGTTTATTCTTCAACGGAACATTCGTGGATATTCCACCAATTTCCTTGAACTCCAGCTTCTGATTTCATAGTTTTCCCCCTTTGTGTCTGTCTCCAGGAGCTGATGCTTGGTGCTCGTCCTGGTCGCTTCCGTGGCTATTCCTTTCTCTCTCCCTCCCCCCCCCCCACTTTTTCTGGGGCCCATAACTCTACTGCTCTCTTGATTCGTTCTGATATTCCATTCATCCCCCTACTTTTTCCATCGCCTCTTGAATGTTCTGCTGCCAGAGTCTTTGTGAGTAAATGGTACACAGTTTGTTCTATTTATCTCCCCCCAAATGTCCTGCTTTCTCTTCCCGATCTCAAGCACCTCTTTGCCGGAGTCTGTGCTCCGAATTGAGGCTCTTGGGCCACCAGCTGTGGGAGCGGGGCGTCTCATCTGGAGCAATCTTTCTAACATTGAATCCTCTAACATTTCGATGGTGTTCCACACCCTGATGGCTTGGTGCTACAGTCTGATGTTGAGTGGCTGTATGTTCAGGAGTTCACGGAGTTCCTGGATTGTCTGATTATATGGTGGATGGTGTTTTGCTGCTCTCCTTAGTGCCTTATTTTGCACTGCTTGCAGTTTTTGCATGTTAGTATTCTTTAAGGTGTGTAGTGGTACTGGGGGGATACTCAAGATGCGGCCAAACTAGAGCCTTATATAGGTTTATCTGAATTTTCGTACTGAGGCTTCGGAATCTCCTCAGTTTCCCTAAGGCTGCTTTGGCTTTGTTTAGTAGGTCCTTTACAGGATTTTTTATCCCTGTTCTATTGATCAAGAGTCCCAGTATTCTGTCTACCTCCGCATATTGGATATGGCGGTTGTCAAGGATAATGGGGTCCGGGTTTCTTTTTGCAATGTGTATTATCTGGAACTTTTGTTTGTTTGTGCTGATTTTCCATTGTTTCTCAAAGATGTTTATGGATTCCATTGCTGCCTTGGTCTTGTCGGCTAGTAGCGGCTTTGATGGACCCAGTTGGCATATTATTTGGGTGATATCGTCAGTGTATGTGATGCATTCTCCATGTTGGGGTTGGGGTAGGTCAGCTGTATGTATGTTGAATAGAGTGGGGGAGAGGCAGCTTCCTTGTGGTACTCCACTTTTCAGTCTATTACATCACCCAAGTAGCTGCCGATATTAAGCCTAGCAGTTCTGTTGTCTATAAAGCTGCACAGAGTAGCAGTAAATCTCTCGGGAAGTCCTAGTTGAGATATCTTATATATTAGGCCTGTGTGCCACACTTTGTCGAAGGCTTTCGAAACGTCTCTAAGCACTATATTACACTGATCTTTTTTTGACACTGCGTTGGCTATATGCTCGTAGATCAGGGCTATAGCTGTATGGGCCCCTCTGCGGTTCCTAAACCCATGCTGCTTGGTGTTATACTTCTCTTCCTCTTCCATGTACTTCACAAGTCTTTGATTAATTATTTTTCAAATATTTTACCTGGTACTTCGAGGAGGGAAATTGGCCTATAATTTTCAGTTTGGGTTGGGGGTTTACCTGGCTTGGGGATTAATCTTATTGTGGCATTCTTGAAGTATGTGGGGAATAGTCCAGATGCAAGAGCTGCATTTACTATACATGTGTATTGATGGAGTGCAATCACTGGTAGGTTGGATAATACCATCTTATTTATCTTGCTGTTGCCCGGTGCCTTGTTCTTGAAACCCATAATTGTTTTATGGACCTCTGCAATGGTTATGTGTTTCATAAGGTGGCGGTCATTGCGGATGTTGTTAAGGTCTATTGTTTACGTCGGGAGTAGTGCTTCAGCTCTGTTATTGACTTGAGTTGTAATTTCCCTTTCATTAATGGGGCAAAAGTTTAAATTTTCTTCTGGGTTAATCCTGAATATTTTTTCCCTAGAACTTTGTGAATTCCTGTTCTTGTTCTCTCTCCTCATAGAGTTTATTTCCTGAGGCATTTATGATGTAGGGTGTTTCCTCAGGTGAGTTTCCCATCAGGGTTTTTACTTTCTTCCAGAACTTTCCTGGGTTTTTTAAATAAGACTTGAGTTTTGCTTATTAGATCATTACATTTTTTGGTGTACTGTTTTGCATAGATCTTGCAGCTCATCTTGTAGTTCCCTTTGTAGTCTTTTGCGCTCATCCGTCCACCCGTGTTGTGTTATGAGTTGTAGAAGGTTGTTATATCTGGTTTGCAGTGTCCTGAGCGCCTCAGTGGCTGGGGGGTGTGGGAGCGTTATATGGTGAGCTACGGGGATGTGATCATTCATGCATTTTTCTATGGTGCTAATCCATGTATTTAACGCAGCATTTATGCATGGTGTTTCCTTTCCATTAAAATCTGTGACACTGATTTCCTGTGCACTGCTTTTGAACGCTTCCCAGTCAGTTTTAGTGTATTGAAGTCTTGGTGGTGAGGGTTTCTGAATGGGGTTAGTTGATAGCATCATTATTATTGGTTGGTGGTCGCTTATGCTCACAGGGCCCCTTTCTATGTGGGTGTTTAGGAAGTGGTGGTTGTTGGACAGTATTATGTCTGGTTTACCACTGTGGCCTTGTCTAACGTAAGTTGGGAAGTCTCGGCCCAGGTGGGTTAGATTTCCGTTCCTTATCATATTGTGGATGGCTTCTCCTGCTTGGTTGTTCCTTCCGTGTTCTGTGCTTGGCGTTCAGATCTCCCAGGAAGTAGGCAGGTCTGTTCCTTCTGGTGAGTTTCATGATGTCGGCAAGAGGAAGGTAAGGCCGTCTTGGTGGTTGGTAGCATGTTCCTATGAAGATTATACCTTTCGTGGTAACCCCCATTCCCCCAAGCCCTCCCTCCTCCCATACCTCCCCAAATCTCCCCCACTCCCCAAATCTCCCCCACTCCCCAAAGCATCCCCCCTCTCACCCACCCCCCAAGCCTCCCCCACCTCCCCACCCCCCAAGCCCTCCCTCCTACTCCACCCTCCCCGTACCAGATCCGCCCAGCCCCCGCACACCCCAGAACCCCCAGGTCCCACTTCCTAGGCCCTCCCATCCCGGTCCCTCCCTGTTTCCCTGCTTCAGAGGAAGCAATAGGACCTGAGAAAGGACAGAAGAGAGTCAGTTTCAGAGTAATGTACTTGAACATAGAAGGGATCACAAGCAAGGCAAGTAAACTAAGGGAAAGAGCACAAGACGTGAACCCAGATGTAATCGAACTCACAAAAACAAAACTTTCAGGAATCATAACAAATGCAGTGTTTCCCCAGGACTACACTGTAATAAGGAAAGAGAGGAAAGGAAGGGGGAGGAGATAGTGTGTCCCTACTAATGAGAAAGCATTGAAGTTTCAAGGAGATGGTTATCCCAGGCTGTGGGGGAGGGGATTGAAAGTGTCGACGTTTCAGACCCTTATCCAGACGAAGCTTTCGGAAGACATGTGATGAAAAACAAACAAGAAAAAACTAAAAATAACTTACAAGGAGAAGAATGGAATGCTAACCAAAGTAATCAGAAAAAGTAAGGAAGGTAATCCCCAACATGTGTAAATCTTCAGAGTTAAAACAAGGGAATTTTCAGGACATTATATGTTACGTTTTAGAATATGTAGCCTCATGGAGTCCTACCTTGAGAAACAAAAAGTCATATTAGAGGAAGTTCAAAGGTTTGCAACAAGACAGGTCCCTGAATTAAGAGGACTGAAATCTGGGGAAAAGCTGAGAAAGTCATGTTGTCACGCTGTAAAAGGGAAGGGAAGGAACGGACATGTAAAATTATAAGAGGCATTGACGAAGTCAAAAGTATCGATGAATATGGCCAGACGAGATGGGATTAGTGAAAACTAGATACTAATTGGCGCCATAGGGATGTAAGAAAGCACTTCTACGGTATAAGCGTAGTTAACAAGTGGTATGAACAGGAAATGGGAGAGACATGAGGCTAACTCCATATGCAGAACTAATCTGAAGGTTTTATATTAACGTACAAGATCGAGAACTTTTGCATTAGGTGACCGGTGTATGAAACTTTGGGTCCAGATTCTGAATATTGCTTTGTAGGTGCATGTAGTTGAGTATACACACATTTATCTGAGTATCTTGAGGGGCCACTAACCCTACTAGCCTCGACGAGGACAGGAAGCCGGCGGCGTATCGAAGTTAAGCCGACAGCTTATTTAATGAATAAAATGTCTCTTTGGGGGACCAAAGCAACCCGTTCTCGCACTTTCGTACAGTTAATATTGACTTATTAAATAAGTGCATATGTGACATACTAATTTATTGTGAATATTTTAGTTTACCTTGAAAAGCTTCATAGAAAACACAGACCTTACCTAACCTTCTTAGTATGTTAAGATAAGCATGTTATTGCTTCTTAATTACAATTATTACTTAACCTATTATAGGTATAGGTTAAGTAATAATTGTAATTACGAAGCAATAAGATGCTTATCTTAACATACTAAGAAGGTTAGGTGAGGTCGGTGTTTTCTATGAAGCTTTTCAAGGTAAACTAAAATATTCACAATAAATTAGTATGTCACATATGCACTTATTTAATAAGTCAATATTGACTGTACGAAAGTGCGAGAACGGGTTGACCAAAGAAACATTTTGTTCTTTAAATATGTTAACATTTCTATTCTGTTCATCAGGTGTTGAACTGCTTGACACATCTAAAAAGGAAGGAAACAAACGTTTTGGTCACGAAACAAATCACCGGAATGGCACTCTGCAGCTGATTCTTCACAACCCGAATGTGTCAGACGTCGGCCAGTACACACTGGTGGCCAAGGTCATGGTCAACAACACAGAGGCTGCATCACACAATGTAACAATGTTCTTCACCACACCAGGTAGGGTTCCCCTAATTTATATCAGCATTATAAATACGTTACTTTAATATTTTAAACAAAAACAGTAAGTTGAGCTATGTAGACACGAGGCTTGGTGATGGTACAGTCTTTGTACTCTTAAGAACATAAGAACAAAGGTATCTGCAGAAGGCCTATTGGCCCATACGAGGCAGCTCCTATTTATAACCACCCAATCCTGCTCATATACATGTCCAACCCATGTTTGAAACAATCGAGGGACCCCACCTCCACCATGTTACGCAGTAATTGGTTCCGCAAATCAACAACTCTGTTACCGAACCAGTATTTACCCAAGTATTTCCTAAATCTAAATTTATCCAATTTATTCCCATTGTTTCGTGTTCTGTCTTGTGTTGATACTTGTAATACCCTATTAATATCCCCTTTGTTATGTCCATTCATCCACTTGTAAACCTCTTATCATGTCACCCCCTAACTCTTCGCCTTTCCAGTGAATACAACTTAAGCTTTGTTAATCTTTCTTCATGTGAAAGATTTCTAATTTGAGGAATTAACTTAATCATCCTAAAAAAAAAAAATCTAATTCAAATGTTTATTCAGGTAAAGTACATACATACAAGGGGTGATACAAATATTGATGAATTTATAGATAGAACTAGTAGATACAATGCCTACAGCCACTATTACGCAAAGCGTTTCGGGCAGGAAAAACACTAAAGACTAAAATTTAATACTAATTGAGATTAAAGTATAAAATGTGTTGAGAAAATATAAAAATAAAAAAGGGGGAACATGGCAGAAAAACAGCAAAAATAAAATTTGGTCGACAAACAGCATTTTTAGTTGTTGACATTTTAATGTCAACATGGGTTGACATTATAGGGGTAAGGTAGGTTACAGGGAGTTAATTAGGTAGTGCTTAGTTTTTATCTTAAACTGGTTGTGAGAGGTGCAGTCTTTATACTTGAGAGAGGCATAGACACGAGTCTGTGTTAAACTAGGCTGTTCATTAGCTGACTCTAACGTGTCACTTAAGGATATTAACGTAACGTCAAGATTGCTTTGTTTGTATTAGATTTAGTTCTTTATGAATAAATTGTTACTGTTGCCAAAGAAACTGTCTTTATGTCAATACCCTTCAATTTTACTGCCCCACATATTCTGCAACATGTTGAACTGTTCTTGTGACCTTTAAAAAAGGCCTGCTTCTGGATTCAAACCTGTTTCATAGCCTCATACATCAAATTAAATTTAGTGAGAGAACTCGAGAGCTACCCTTAATATTGAACTGGCAATCGAGGAGCTCAACGACCTAGTGGATTAGGATTCCAATTGTCTGGAATCCTGGCGTTGGCTCTAGCCTATCTATTTTCAGTCTTAAAGTATGAGCGGGTCTGGTGCAGTCCTTTCTGACTGAGGACGTTTATATTAATGTTCGAACTTTCCAAGGAAGGCAAAATAACAATCTCACAATATAATAGTCAATACAAAACCACATCAACATTGTCAAATTATTGCACATGTTTTCCTACAAATATCACGTACAAACTTGAGTAAGAGCGGGAGAGGAGACCACATTCACAGGTCTGAAGATTGAACTATAAAATTGATTTTAAATCTTTCACACAAAGCATCACATGTCCGAGGTTAGAGGTAATTCATGTTGGTTTCACACTATCTGAGAGATAATTTAGAATAAATACTGGATAATAACTTCTTGAAGATGTGTTATATAAAACGTGTAGGAGGCAGCTCGAGTAAGCTTGCAGTTATAATTTTGGTATGTAATATATCCTAAACAATGAAGCCTTTTTTTATCATAATTTAAACTACAGTATTTTGTAACAGTTGGACCCAGCGATGTGAAACTGAACTCATCCAACAAAGACTTGATGCTGAAGAATGACTCAAAGTTCCAAATGACCTGCATGGCCAGTGGCTACCCCAAGCCTCATGTAACGCTCCAGTTTAAACAGTGTGTCAGTAAAAACAACTGCAATAATTACTCAGTAAGTAAGAAAGTTTTGTGGGTCATTTCATTCGTGATGTTACTTACAAGGGGTCATTTAATTGAAAATAACAAGAGTTAAATGAAAACCAATGTATTTGAGCCTACGTTAAGGATCTACTTTATTTTTCAACATAATCTCTTGCACTTTCAATGGTAGGTTTCTACGGAGAATATTTTTTGGTTAATTATTGAGTCGCTCACACTTTGGTTGTCCAGCCTTCTTATTAGTGGAAATGTTATCAGTTTAATATCTCTTTTTATGTTTGTAAAATAACATAAAATAACATTTGTAGACAAGTCTACAAATTACTAGAATATGATGGGAACACAGTACACATTAAAATAAGAATCTTTATTTGCATGGACAGTTGATGGGGCATTGTGAGGGCCGCCATTGTTGTACTATAAACAAACACCTCTTCTTGAGACCAAGAAGAGGTTTCAGATGATTAAGTATATCATAATATGAATTACTGCTGAGACCAGTCCCATTCTTCTTGTAATTCTTCAATATTATCCCATTTTCATAGAGTCCCCCCCCCCCCCCCCTAGGTATGTCCTCGTTGTGGATATTGAGACTCAAGGGGTGACTAGTGAATCCCTATTTTATAAATGAAAGCCCATTTAGGAATATAGAGATTAAATGGTGGCTATTGAAACCTCTGTGGAAATTCGAAGATCATGTATTCACCTAGTTGTGCTTGTGGGGTTGAGCTCTAGCTCTTCCGGCCCACCTCTCAACTGTCAATCAACCTTTTTTTACACACACACACACACACACACACACACACACACACACACAGATGGAGGAAGTTACACAGGGAATAGAACAGTGCAAGAAAGATATGCAACTCACTTATGCACAAGTGGCCAAGGAGAAGGAAAAAATAGAAGAAGCAGTAAAGGAAGTCAAACACTGCAGCAACCAAGATAAAACAAACATTAGGCTAGAAGTGAGGAAAGAATTGGCATCTAACCCGAAGTTGGTGCAAAACACAGTTGATCGGAGTAAGTCCCTGATCATTTTTGGCTGCAAAGAAAAGGCGATAACATCTAGGTCAGAAAGAGCTGTAGAAGAAGCTAAAGTAGTAGATAAAATTGTTGGCCTCGTAGAAGGTCTTACAAACAGAGAGAATGTGTGCGACTACAGGAGAATAGGCAGGTACGTAAAAGGGAAAGATCGACCTTTGAGGATCACCCTAAACGGTGCCAAACAGATGGAAGAAGTACTAAGGAATGCTAGAAAATTGCAAAGGGATGAGGATGGGAAAGGGTGGTCGTTAAGACGTGATCTTTCAAAAGAAGATAGAGAGAAGCTGAAACTGAACCTCGCCGAGGCAAAACATTTAAATGAGAGCAGGAATGAAGAAGAAATAAATTCTTTTTTTCTACAAAGTGATAGGGGTAGGCAAACCAGTAAAGTGGTACATAAAGGCAAACCAACAAAATCAATAGAGAGAGGGGGAGTGAAGAATAAGGAGAGGGGGAACAAGTTCCTGAAGATTGCATACACCAACATAGATGGAGTGAGATCGAAGATACTGGAGTTAAGTGATGTAATACAGCTGCAGACACCAGACATTGTTGCACTCACGGAGACAAAACTTGAAGATGTAATTTTAAATGAGGTCATATTCCCAAGGGGCTACTCAATTTGGAGACGGGACAGAAAAATTAGGAAAGGCGGTGGCGTTGCTGTGCTGGTAAAAGAACACCTAAAGGTGAAGGAAATAATGACTGCCAATCCACAAGAAGTTGACATAATAGCACTAGAGATCTGCTATGAGGATGATAAACTAATGATGATAAATGCATATAGTCCACCGCCAAGCAGCACGTGGTCAAAGGAGGAGCTAGATAGTAAACGTGAAGGTCTTATAACAATAATGAGAGAGATTATAGCGAGAGCGGATAACGATAGATCACGACTGTTGATAGTCGGTGACTTCAACTTGAAATCCATAGACTGGGAAGCATATGAAGCTAAAACAGAAGATTTTTAGACCTGTAAATTTGTAGACCTCATCCTGGAAACATTCTTGTATCAACATGTTAAACAAGCTACGAGGATGAGGGAAGGGGACGTTCCCTCCATGCTAGATTTGATATTTACCAGGAAGGAGGAAGAGATATTTGACATTCAGTACCTTCCTCCCTTGGGTAAAAGTGACCATGTCTTTTTGGGAATAAAGTATGCAATGCGTTATAAGCTGGAAGAAAATAAGGAGGTTGAAGCAGTTGAAAAACCAGACTTCAGGAGAGGACATTATGGTGACCTTAGAATTTTTTTTAGTGAGTATAATTGGACAGACTTGATGCTAGGCAAGGAAGTGAATGAGATGTATGGCAAGTTTTGTGAAATATATGATAAAGGCACAAAAAAATTTATACCAAAACAGAGATGCAGAACTAAGAAACAGGATTGGTTCAATAGAAATTGCGAGAGGGCTAGAGACCGAAAGACACAAAAATGGAATCAATACAGGAAGAGGCCGAACCCCCAAACATACCAGCGATACAAAGATGCGAGAAACAACTACACGGCAGTGAGGAGAGAGGCAGAAAGAAATTTTGAAAAAGGGATTGCGGACAAATGTAAAACAGAACCAGGTCTATTCTATAAATTCATAAACAACAAATTGCAGGTAAAGGATAATATTCAGAGGTTGAAAATGGGAAATAGATTCACGGAAGATGAAAAGGAAATGTGTGAAACACTAAACGAAAAGTTTCAAAGTGTGTTTGTACAAAATGAAATCTTTAGGGAACCAGATACAATAAGAATTCCAGAGAACAACATAGAACACATAGAGGTGTCTAGAGACGAAGTGGAAAAAATGCTCAAGGAGCTCGGTAAGAACAAAGCAGCTGGCCCAGATGGCGTTTCACCATGGGTTCTGAGAGAATGTGCATCTGAGCTCAGCATTCCACTTCACCTGATCTTTCAGGCATCCCTGTGTACAGGAATCGTAGCAGACGGGTGGAAACAGGCTAACATAGTTCCAATCTACAAAAGTGGCAGCAGGGAAAACCCCCTCAATTATAGACCTGTATCATTGACAAGTGTAATAGTGAAAGTATTGGAAAAACTAATCAAAACTAAATGGGTAGAACACCTAGAGAGAAATGATATAATATCAGACAGACAGTATGGTTTTCGATCTGGAAGATCCTGTGTATCGAATTTACTCAGTTTCTATGATCGAGCCACAGAGATATTACAGGAAAGAGATGGTTGGGTTGACTGCATCTATCTGGACCTAAAAAAGGCTTTCGACAGAGTTCCACATAAGAGGTTGTTCTGGAAACTGGAAAATATTGGAGGGGTGACAGGTAAGCTTCTATCATGGATGAAAAATTTTCTGACTGATAGAAAAATGAGGGCAGTAATCAGAGGCAATGTATCGGAATGGAGAAATGTCACAAGTGGAGTACCACAGGGTTCAGTTCTTGCACCAGTGATGTTTATTGTGTACATAAATGATCTACCAGTTGGTATACAGAATTATATGAACATGTTTGCTGATGATGCTAAGATAATAGGAAGGATAAGAAATTTAGATGACTGTCATGTCCTTCAAGAAGACCTGGACAAAATAAGTATATGGAGCACCACTTGGCAAATGGAATTTAATGTTAATAAATGTCATGTTATGGAATGTGGAATAGGAGAACATAGACCCCACACAACCTATATATTATGTGAGAAATCTTTAAAGAATTCTGATAAAGAAAGAGATCTAGGAGTGGTTCTAGATAGAAAACTATCACCTGAGGACCACATAAAGAATATTGTGCAAGGAGCCTATGCTATGCTTTCTAACTTCAGAATTGCATTTAAATACATGGATGGTGATATACTAAAGAAATTGTTCATGACTTTTGTTAGGCCAAAGCTAGAATATGCCGCTGTTGTGTGGTGCCCATATCTTAAGAAGCACATCAACAAACTGGAAAAGGTGCAAAGACATGCTACTAAGTGGCTCCCAGAACTGAAGGGCAAGAGCTACGAGGAGAGGTTAGAAGCATTAAATATGCCAAAACTAGAAGACAGAAGAAAAAGAGGTGATATGATCACTACATACAAAATAGTAACAGGAATTGATAAAATCGACAGGGAAGACTTCCTGAGACCTGGAATTTCAAGAACAAGAGGTCATAGATTTAAACTAGCTAAACACAGATGCCGAAGAAATATAAGAAAATTCACCTTCGCAAATAGAGTGGTAGACGGTTGGAACAAGTTAAGTGAGAAGGTGGTGGAGGCCAAGACCGTCAGTAGTTTCAAAGCGTTATATGACAAAGAGTGCTGGGAAGACGGGACACCACGAGCGTAGCTCTCATCCTGTAACTACACTTAGGTAATTACACTTAGGTAATTACACATTCATACCAAAACAGAGATGCAGGATCAGAAAACAGGATTGGTTCGACAGAAATTGTGAGAGGGCAAGAGACCAAAAGACACAAAAATGGAATCAGTATAGGAAGAGACCAAACCCCCAAACATACCAGCGATACAAAGATGCGAGAAACAATTATACAGCAGTAAGGAGAGAGGCAGAAAGAAATTTTGAAAAAGGGATAGCAGATAAATGTAAAACAGAACCGGGCCTATTCTACAAATTCATAAACAACAAATTGCAGGTAAAGGATAATATCCAGAGGTTGAAAATGGGAAACAGATTCACGGAAAATGAAAAGGAAATGTGTGAAACATTAAATGAAAAGTTCCAAAGTGTGTTTGTACAAAATGAAATCTTCAGAGAACCAGACACAATAAGAATTCCAGAGAACAAAATAGAGCGGATAGAGGTGTCTAGAGATGAAGTGGAAAATATGCTAAAGGAGCTCGGGAGGAACAAAGCAGCTGGCCCAGATGGCGTTTCACCATGGGTTCTGAGAGAATGTGCATCTGAGCTCAGCATTCCACTTCACCTGATCTTTCAGGCATCCCTGTGTACAGGAATCGTAGCAGACGGGTGGAAACAGGCTAAC